GTAAAATACCAATCCATTTATTTTTTAATTTGTTTCCAATCGAGTATCTCAGCAATTTTCCCTTCAAAGAAAATTTCACCTACCAACTGGTTTCCGTTCTTAGTTTGATTCATTACACATCTTTAATGTTCATACACCACTTACTAACTGAATAAAGTATGCCCTTGAAGTAATACGTAGTTAGATGTTTTGACAGGAATGTTTTACCATGTCCTAAAAATTGTGTTTTGCAGGACCTACTTACGAAGTCTACTTGATTTGATCCCAGTATCTAGGAAAATTCACTTCTCACATTATTCTTTTGAGTACACCTCGAAGGCTACGTGTTAGCAAATTGCAGTTAGCGTGTTTGTCTAAACACGCGTTTTGGGTGTTGTAAGTAGACAGTTTGGATCAACTTCGTGGCCTAAAGTGGCGCTATTGATCTTCACGGTGGAGACACTCCGATCAATCTCAAAACCCTACATTCTAACAATGTATGTGATGTCTCCCCTAACCAGTCTGAAATCGGAGGAGGAAGGGAAAGTGTGTGTTTAAACTGCAAGAACTATTAAGTCCTTTACCGCAGGTCGTATTTCTGCTCAATGACACGGCTTTCGGCTCATGCTGGTAGCCTCCCAGCTTTCCTCAGCGTTAGTATGTAGTGCATCCTCACTTCATAGAGGACTCGGGGCGTTGCATCAACACTAACAGATGTCAGGAGGATATCAAGGATATACGCAAAAACAGGCAAAAAACGGGGTTATGAAAACAAAGTGCCGAGGAAGTAGTCAAACTCGCTGGAATAAGGGGATGCGCGAATTGGTAATGCCCGAATGCAAACCAGTCGTGCAGACATGTCAGAAAGTGATTTGGTTAATTCAAACACTAGTTGAGCCCTTACGAAATTGCCGCGACTCTGCCATGGTGTGCATATCATGGTGAAGAGAGTGCAGGTCACTTAAACTACTTGTGGCAAATGAAGGAATCAGATCAATGTCTGAAGGACTGACGTTAGTAGATGGCATTCATGAGTGTTCGAATGATTGGTGGAGTGGTTCTGGCGGAGCAACGCCCCCCTTACATTAGTATATAAATATCCTGCTCTAACTGCATATTCAGCTTCGATAACGCGTGGTGAGAAGGAATGCGGAAACTCCGAGGAGAAGACAAAAAGAAGGACGCCTCAAAAGGGTAAATTTAAACGTCGATTTTTCCAACTCAAATAGTAATAAAGGTGAAGCCAAGGCCCATCGGTCATTAAAAGAAGTACTTTCGACTAAACTGCACAAGAAAAAAAAGTGAGTCGATTTATTTACTTTCGGAGGTCGATTGTTCTGTAGAAACGATGCGGTCAAATTTGCTCCATTTCGAAAGACAGAGGATACATCAAGTACTTCAGTGGCGCCAATGGCAACAGAGTCGTATAACGTAACTCCTAAAGAAAATCATTTTTATGCCAATCCAATACCACCTCCGGTAGAACAAAGCGCAGAAGTGTGTGCCAGCCTGGAGAGTAATGATGGTTCCCCAAGCTCGGAACCTGAAAAAATTGGTGCCACTGATACGGAATTGCATCCCGTCTCCGAAGCAAGCTCAGGAGCGAAGAATGCAATGGAGCCTAATTTGTTCAGTTCCATCATACACCTT